AAATCGTCTTTGCTTATAAGACTATTTGTAACCTTTGAAGAGAAAAATGTCAAGTTTTCCTAAAGAAGGATCTTACACATTTGTTCCTTCAAATTACTTTGAACAACCAAGTGAAAAAGAGCTCATTATAAGAATTTAAAGTTTTACAGATAACTCTGTAAGCTCTGATGACCTGCATGATTCAGTTGATAGTTCCCACTATCAAAAGCGTGGAAACTTTTCTGATATTGATAATCCAACTATTTTTGATTTTATTAATAATTATTCTTCATCACTTCCTTTTCCTTCTTCTCAAACTCCCAACTAAACACTTGATATCCATGTTACACCCATCATACCATCTCCTTCTTAGACAAATCCACTAGACTAAACTCATCAAACACCCTTCCTTGATGAAGCATTATTGTTAATGTCAAAATTTTCTGAGAGTTTACACTTTATGAAACATGTTGTCACATGTTGTGACACTCCTATTGAAAGTGATGTTCTATAGGATCAATTCAGAGATTGGTTTGTTCATTGTTGCAAATTTCTTAAAGACATTTCATATGAGGAAGTTCTAAAGAAATTCCTAGTCAGATTCTATGAGGCTTTAAAGACTTCTATGGATTTTAAAAAGTTTATTGTTGAGTTGAAGTCTCAACACAAGCCTCTGGCGCTCCCTTCACCAGAACCTATCTTGACTTCAGAAGTGATCTTGTCAGAATTTCAAACTTTTGTTGAAGCTTATCTAGAGCCAAATATGACTCTTCATCTTGAAACTGGAACCTCCTCTGGGATCTCCACCTCTGAGCTTGTTGTTGTTGAAGATGGTTCTTCATGTGTTAAGAAGACTCTAAAGGAATTAAAGAAAGAGAATGCTGAAGTACAGACTTGGATCTCTCGTCAGGAAGAAACTAACCTTGCTATACACAAGTTGTTGACCACCATTGTTTCTAAGCTTCCATCTTAAAACCTTTTTTAAACTATTATGTCATATTATGTTTTATTTTGAATCTATGGTTTTATTATCATGTCTTATTCTATTCTTTTTATTGTGATACTCGAAGTATGTTTGTTGTGTGGTTAATTAGACAATTATCCTACTTTTATATAACAACACGCAATGCACATCCCCTTGGGAATATATATTTCCTTTACCATATATTTATTTAGTTACTTCTCCTCTCTTTTTATAACCTTCTCTTTCTAAAAACCTTTTCTATCTGTTTGTGAAAACCTCAATTTTGAGATGACTTCAATAACTAACAATGGGATCAAAAACCTGTTAGTCGTCGTCAATGAAAGGGTTATTGAATTTGATGAAATGGTGGCACCTGGATTTGATCTTAAAAATATTATTTCTTTTCAAGGTTGTAATGTTTACTTTTATATGCTCTTTGGTCATACTTATCCTAATCTTATCAAAGAATTATGGGTAAATGCGTCCATCAAAGAAATCAATCAAAAGTACGATATTCTTTCTATAGTATTTGGCATACCCATAACCATTACCTCCATTATTATTGCTAACGTAATAGGGTGTGAGGATGATGGTGTTACTCCATATCTTCTCTTTAGAGAATCTTATCGTCCTCTGTACAAAATCTTTGATGATCTCTCAAACACCTCAAGAGCCTCTAATATTCACTCCATGGCATAAATTTGGCATCAAATTTTAACGTAAAACTTCTTGTCTATTAAAAAGAACCAAGACGTCCTAACTTCGGGTGATAAGTATCTTCTTCTTCTCCTCAACTTAAGGTTAAAGATCAATCTACCTCAAGTTATGTTTGATTAGTTAAAGCTAACACTCATGACCTTTCACAAGAGAATGGAATTCTTCATTTCTTTTGGACGGGTTCTATCAAAACTCTTCCTTCAACAAGGGGTAGTTTTAACTGAGGTTGATCGTGTCTCTAAAATCTAGGGTGAGAGAATGAAAGATGCTAGAAGATATAAAAGTCCAAGAAGATGCCATGTAAGGAAGACTTTATGGTTGAAACTTCATATCATTAGTTCTTCTTCGGATTATCTCTTGAAGTTTCTTTACCTATCTTGTTTAAGATTTCATCTTGTTTAAGATTTCATCTTGTTTTTGAAACAATTCTCTACCGATTTAATGAAATTTAATTCTCTATTTATCCTTTTCATTCAATCTATATGCTTATTTACATTATTTTTATTGATGACAAAGGGGGAGAAAAAGGTGGATCGTTTTGATGTATCTGTTTCCCAAATAGAACTCAAACGTTTGATACACTTTGTGGGAACTCTGATATTTCAGCTAATCTAATTTTTTATATCTATATTTGCTCTGAAGAATTTTTGTGTGCATGAAACTCTGATATATTCTTAACTTGGCACAGACTCTGACTGTTGGCACATTTAACTCTGGTTAAAATTTTCTTGTTCTCAGAGCAAGCTTGCAAACCTCACTATAATGAGACTGAAAATTTTAATATGTTTAAACTCAGAGGAAGCTTACAAACCTATCTCTTTTGTTTTAAACTAATCTGCATCTTTTAGATTAAATAACTAGGAACATTCTTATTGATTAAAATTTTTCTGAACTATAATTTTTTTTTCTAAATGTTACTATTAGGGGGAGCTTGCAAACCTAACTCTAAAATAGTCATGAAATTTTTTGATATTATTCACAAGGGGGCTTGCAAACCTCACTCTGTTGAAGTTGGAAATTTTAATAAGTTTTAAACTAATGGGGAGCTTACAAATCTAACTCTGATGTTTTTAACTATTGTGAGTTTATCAAAGGAAAATTGTTCATCAAAATACATTGTATTGTCATCATCAAAAAGGGAGAGATTATTAGAATAAGTTTGGTTTGTCAACTAATCCTTAGAGTTTTGGTGATAACAAGTACGCCTATAAGAAGAACAAATTTTTTCTCTAACAGTTGTTCAATGTGAAGATACATATAAGAAAGAAACTTTGACTCTAAAGAATTCAAGTTAAAATGCATCAGATACTAAGCATAGCACACATTGATTTTGGAGATCGGCGAAATCTGAAGACTAGCGAAGTCTGAAGATTGACATTATCAGAAGCAAGTAGAATCTGATGTAAAAGAGAATGACTTTGAACTCTGAATAAGCTTCATAATTATTTATCAGAAGCCTTTGATTCAAAGGTATAACTTCTGAAAGAATATCGTAAAGAAACAACAAACCAAATATGGAATCTGGGTTATCAAATCAATGCATCTACAAGAATCTATCCAGAAGACATTTAAAGATAGACTCTAACTCTCTACGAATCTGATATATCAAGCTTTTAAGAACTTACTCTAATCAAGTGTCACCATATCATATCAGAAGCCTCTGACTCAAAGAAGTTAAGTATGAAGAAAATAATACATCTGACCTCTGATCAAGCTTCCCCAAACTCTATCTGAAGCCACTGACTCGTGATGTTAGTTGTAACAGAAAGAAGTGTGGAAATAATATAAAAGTATATCATTGTGTGACTACAGTACACCAACCTATCAACACACTGTAAAATAGATAAATGATTGTTCACTATATCTTTATTTTTCACATGTCTCATCTTAGTGCTGCTACAACACTTTACTCTCTTACTAGCTAACCGTCTACAACAATTATCTACTGTGTGGATACTCAATCTCTCTTTCTCTAACGAATCTATTTTTTTTCTATTTAAAAGGGAAACTGGAATATTGAAGAGGTGTAAAAGTATTGGGTAACAACAATATAGACAATACATACCCACAAGAGAATAAAATACAGAAAATGAAAAAAGAGTGAAGTTGCTTAAAAGAAGAAGCATACATAAAAGGAAATTTGTGCAAAACTCAAGAGTGTCATTGAGCTAGTAAGAAAAAGAAATTTAATGAAAATGCATATATGAATCTGAACATGAAGTAATCAGTTATATGAAAAATAAAAAAAAAAGAAGTGAAGAAGATCAATGAAGCTAAACAATGAAGCTAAACAATGAAGATACATCTAGGTCTAAAAGAAGAAACATAATATGGCTTTATCAAAGACAAAGGAATTATCAGCAAAAAGAGAAGAGCAAATACTATAAAGATCTTTAGAGACAACAAGGAGAAACACTTTAAGCTTTCATTTCATATCTCTGAAAGTGTTATCTTTTATGCTTAAAACTTGTGTATTTTAGCTTTATGAAGAAGCAACTTGTACATACAAAATCTTATAACTTTAATCTTGTGAGGGTAATTTCCTTGAGAGAGCAAGTTTGGTCAGAATTCTTGAGATGTCAATAACATTTGTTATTGAGGTTGATTTCCTTGGAGGACTAAAGGTCTAGTCAGGATCCTCGAGATGTCAATGACGGTTTGTCATTGAGGTGATTTCCTCAAGAGATCAGTTGGATCAGAATTCTTCAAATGTCAATGACGGTTGGTCATTGAGGTTGTAATCAAAAGTTTATTTAATAGATTTAAGTCCTTCTTGATAAGGAAAAATCATCCTAGGTGGATGGACTAGACTAACCTAGTTAACGGTGAACCAGGATAAATATACATGTGTCTTTTATTATTGTTGTATACTTTGTGCTTGAGCATTGTTTAATTCTTGGGTGTTCGAATAAATTGAAAACTCTAGAAACTCAATTCAAACCCTCACTTTTTTGTATTTTATTAAACCTTCAATACTTTAGCCGAGTTAATATTAGAAGTCAAGACATAAACAATTTTGAAAAACTATTTTTCATTTTGAGGTTCACGTGAACCTTCCGCCCTTCTTTAGTATTGTGAACAAGTGAAATATTTTATCTCCAACTCATGAGAAAAATCTTGACATGACAACTATTCTCGTGATTAGCTAATAGAATGAGTCTCCCTCAAACTCAATAATTAACACCATTGACAAAATCATAAAAATAAACTTCATTTTCACAACTTAATGTCCTATAAAAGTGGATGAGCTGAACTCACCAACTAAAAAGACAATAGATATATTGTGGTTATGGCAAGAAAATTGGAAACTAGTCACTTTCCAAAATACATAGGAAAATACTCATAGCCATGGAGAATTATAAATGGGAGTAACAACAGATTTAACTTGTAAATACTTATGAATTGCTTCCAATCCATATTCTCTTCCAAATCCACTCATTTTATATCCTCCAAAAGGAATATCATCTCCAAAAGCAAAATAACAGTTTATCCAAATAGTGCCTGCGCGAATGGATCTTGACACAGTGTTTGCTATATCCAAATTCTTTGTCACAATACCGGCCGCTAATCCATATCTTGTATTATTAGCACTCTTAATTGCTTCCTCAATAGTCCTACAGACACCAGACACGATATTAACATCAGTAATAATTTTAAAAAAATGAATAAACTAAATATAATCACATGTGTCGGTGTCTCAACCTGATACACCTTTATTCAGAGATGTCACGGAGAAACATATTAAAAAGAACTTACTTGAACTTTTTCAGCGCCAACAGAGGACCAAATATTTCATCCTGTGCTATAAGCATATCATCCTAAACAAAATAGTGTATACATGATAGAACAATGGTTAATTAAGAATTTTGGCAAACATATGCAAATTGATTGTGGACTTGTTAATGTTATTCACCTTTATATTGGAGAAAATTGTTGGCTCAATGTAGTATCCTTTGTTCCCAATTGTTTTACCACCAGTCAAAAGGGTAGCTCCTTCCCTTTTTCCATGTTCTATATATGAAAGAATTTTTTCAAATTGTTTCTTGTCAACCTATACATTGTACTCAAGATTGTTACAAGCAAAAGATGAAGGATCTTAAATATAAACATTGTTTTAAAGTAAATTTATTTGTGGAGTATGTCTCAAGAAAACTCTAAAATTCGTAAAATTCTCATGAGGTGTTCTGTACGAGATCGAACTTACTTGAGGTCCTTGTTGAACATTAGGATCAAAATTGTCCCCAACGACCCAAGCTTTTGCTTTTCCTACCAATTTTTTCTCGAATTCTTCATAGATTCCTTCTTGAACAAACACGCGGGAACTTGCAGCACACACTTCTCCCTATTGTGACAAAAGACAACATGTAAGGTTGGTGATTGACACAACAAAAAACCAAAGATTTTGTTTAAAAAGAGAGGGTTTTCACGAAAGCAATTTCACCTTGTTGAATAAGATGCCTATAAGAGCAAGTTCGGTAGCTTTTTCAATATCAGCATCATCAAAAATTATGAGTGGTGACTTGCCTCCTAATTCAAGTGAAACTTGTTTCAAGTTACTCTTTGCTGCAGCTTCCATTATCTTACGACCGGTTTGTGTTGAACCAGTAAAGCTTACCTAAACATACATCACCAACCAATTAGTCATGCGCGAACGCGATTCCGAGGTCACGACATCAATGTTTTGACAGCAGAAACTACATTTGACTGTCATTAATATCATCTGTAATAAGAAAGCTTGTGACGCAAGTTACCCAAATTTAAAATATTTCTTTCAAATTTCTTATGTTCTACAAGTAGTTCAAATTACCGCATCAATGTCCATGTGTGAGCTAATTGCAGCACCAGCAATTTCTCCAAATCCGGGTACTACATTCAACACTCCGTCCGGGATTCCAGCCTTAAAAAAGAGAAAGAAAGAAGAGTCAAATATGAGACGGAGCGAGTACAATGTAGAAATCGATGATTTGAAGAATCGTACCAGTTTAGCTAGATGAGCATAAAACAAAGCGGAGAGAGGAGTTTGTTCGGCAGGTTTAAGGACCATGGTGCATCCAGCAGCTAAACAAGGGCTAACCTTAACAAAGAACATTGAAGTGGGAAAGTTCCAAGGAATAATGTGTCCAACAACACCAACTGGTTCCATCAATGTATAAGCATGGAACTGTCCAGAAGGTTTTAATACCTCACCATGAATTTTATCAGCTGCACCTGCATAGTAACGTAGCGTATTTGCTGCAGAGGGAATTTCAAAAGCCTTACACATATGGTACAACTTTCCTGCATCAATGGCATCAAGTGCTGCTAGCTCTTGTATGTTTTCATCAATAAGGTTCGCAAATTTCATCATTATTTTTGCTCTTTCCTGAAAGGCATATTGCTAAATATGGAGTAGAGATCTTAACTCGTAAATAATTCATATTAACGATTAACAAAACATTTAGTCCCATAAACAATTCTCCTTCATATTTATACAATCTTTGACATAGTAATTTGCTATAAGATAATGGCAAAGAATAATTAATTTCATTTAAATCAAAATAAATAACATACAGTGCCGGACAGGCGAGGCCATGGACCTGAGTCAAACGCATGACGTGCTGCCTTTACAGCAACATCAATGTCTTCTTTGGTCGCTTCACTGATTCTTGCTATAACATCTCCTGTTCTTGGATCTATTGTCTCAAAACTCTTCCCTGTCATGAATATTATGACCGATAATATTAGAAAGAAGTCAAATCATTTTTGAGAGTGTGCAAGACGATCTTCAGCAAAATGGATATTCATACATGTATTTCACAATTAATTTACGGTTAAATATAATCTTTTAAAAAAATTTACGAGTTAACTGAAATTCACTTCAACTTGTTACACATAGTCTCTCAAAAGTTTGAGAAGACTCTGATTAGAAGGAGCTAAGAAAGGTAGAAAAGCAAAAGCCAGATAATATTGACCTGAAAGTGATTCAACGAAATCTCCATTGATGAATAGTTTGGTGAACTTGATGGTAGGGACCTTGGTGAGTGTTCCATTAGCATGGTCAATACTCATTTTTGTGTGTATGGATGCTAATGAAATAGAAATAGAGAGAACTATGGTTGAAACTTGAGATGTTAATGACTTATTATAGAGGAAGAAGTATAGTAGCATATGCCATTTAAAAGAAAAGAAATAGTTGGTAGTAATGTTATAATAACATAATATTACAACTAAATTTCATATATAAGACTCTCCATCTTATATTATAAATAAATAAATAGTTGGAGTGAGAGTAGTAATATTATGACACTTTAATATTGCTTAAGTTTTTTTCTAGTGGGGCTGTGTGGGGACACAACACGCAGAAGTGGGAGTGTAACATTAAAAATATGAGAAGATTCGTTAGACTTTTTTATAGAAGACAAAACTTATTAGTCATAGAATTTGTGAATTGATTAACTTGGTCCTTAAATTTTTTATGGTATATAAATAGTTTATCAATTTGATTGGTATTATAGCAAATAAGTTTATCCGGCAAGTTTGATCATTTGGCACATTAAGTGTATTATTGGAAGCTTGGTCGGTCATATAGTGACAAAATTGATAGAAATTTTTTTATATTAAAAATATTTTATTTTCTATTTTGTTGGTAATATGTTAACCTCAATTATGTCAAATTTAATGTTAAAATTTTCAAGGATTTTTTTTATATATGGTTTAATATATGGTCAAATTTACTATTTATTTTGGTAATATGTCTGGTATAATCAGGAGTGAACCCACGTTAAATTAAGGGGGTGTAATTGAACCCCTGACTTATTAAATTGCTCTCTAATATCTTATTTTATTATCCTTTTGAATTAGGCATGGCAAAAAGACCCAGGCATGTTGGACTCGTCCGGCCCCGCCCCGAAATTAACGGGGAAAATCTGACTTTATTGGAGAGATAAATAGAGAGAGACGTCCGCACTCGTACTCGACCCGCCCCCGAATACTGCAATTATATTAATGCCCCTATTTTAATTATTTTAATGTTAATTAATTTTCTCAATTCTCACATATTATATAGACATATAGCATCGTGAAAACTGAAAACCCTATTTCCTCTCAAAACTGAAAAACTCTCCTCTCAACACAGAACCGGAAACGACGTCGACCACCATTGCTGCCATCACCACGACGGCGTCCCCCTGTGCACAAGCTCCTCAACTCCGACGCACACCAGCCCTTCAGCTCAGCCGTTGGATTTCAAATTCAAAGGTTAGATCTATGTCCTCTTTCTTGAATCAAAGTTTATGTGTAGCAATTTTTCTTCTATGTTGCCCAAAAGACTTGATCCTTATTCGGTGATGACTGAGCTTGATTAATTACACAGAACAAACACCAGTGTACTGGAGCTGTATAAATATATAAGTCGATTTGTTTGTTTGAAAATCAAAAATTGGTTGTATGTTTTCTAAGTTGGTTTATTTATGAAGAATTCTTAATTGAAATAATCATGTTCTCAGAGGGCCAAGGTTCGGAAAGAGAAAAAGGTTAAAGAACCTAAAATGTCCAAACTGTGAGACTTATTAAAGTAGTTTACAGAAAACTAACCATTTGTGTTATTCTTTCTAAGTGATATTAATCATTTTTTTCAAGTTAATTATTCGTGTAAATGCTACTGTGAGACTTATGTACAACTTAATTACTTTACAGGATAATTAGTTATGGAAAATGATGGTACCTCTCAAACACAATGTCCACCTATCTCACAAGAAAGTACACATCAATCAATTCCCATGAAAGTGGTAACCAATCAGTTGATGCTCTTCCTCCCACACCAAATGATAATATGGAGGTTGATAGTCAAACAACTGTAAGTCATCGATCCATACATAGAAGTTTTGTATGGGGTCATTTTATAAAGATTAAAGTTGATAGAAAAGATAAGGCTCAGTGTAATTATTGCTCAAAGCAGATTAATGGATCATCAAATGATGGGACGACACACTTAAAAGGATATTTGGGATTTTTTTCCTAAAAATAAGCTTTTGAAACCATCTGATAAAGGACAAACATTTCTTACGCCTAGAACCATGCAAGGTAAACAAGAGTTGAGTAGTGGAATTTATGATGCAGAAAATTCTAAGAAAGAGCTTGCACATGCAATTATTTTGCATGAATATCCGCTTTCAATAGTGGATCATATTGGTTTTCGAAGATACTCAACTTCTCTCCAACCAATATTTCAAGTTCCTTGTAGAAATACTATAAAAAAAGAGATACTCAAAGTATACGATATGGAGAGATCATCAACTTTGAAGTTGTTAGAAAATCTTGAAGGAAGAGTGACTATTACTTCTGACCTTTGGACCTCGACCAATCAAAAAAATGGATATATGGATGTCACTACTCATTACACCGATGGAAATTGGAATTTACAGAGTCACATTTTGATGGAATCTTTAAATTAATATAAAATATTTTAACATTAATGAATTGATTCATGAACTAAATCGACCGAACTCGATACTCGTGAATCGTTTGGACCAAATTATTTTTTATTTTTTGACAATCTTACAATATATATTTTTTCTCTTCGTCACTCAAATATTTTAAGAAATACTTCAATAATTTACTTTGCAACACAAAAAAGATGTGTAACAGAAATATGAAAACTTCGATGTTATATTATATATTTGGTTTGTAGGAAATTATGACAAATCTACTAAATAAAAAATTGAACATTTTTTGCAAAAGGTAGTTTCCATATCCAATTTTAGTGATAGTCAAAATCATAATTATGATGTATAGACATCGACCAATAAAACTTGTTTCTAGTAGTATATTCGACATTAAGATTTTAACTCCTCAATCAAAAGTCTTCAACAGAAGTATTTATCATTATTTTGAAAGGGACCTACCTTCTTAGAGCTTTTATTTTTATAATAAACAAACAAGAACTCACTTGAAAATTTAGAGCAATTTAGACCCACCTTGATAGTCGAGACATTTTATGTATAGTTGCTATATTTTTTCTAATGGAATTTTTTTACATGGTCGTTTTGACTATACACGATTATGTGTTTTTCATTTATTTTTTTTACTCATTAATGTTGCACCATTCCAAGTTCCACATTATCTAAATGACTCGTTAATTTATATTCACTCCTTATTTAAATCTAAAGTTTGTAATTTATTTTTGAGGTAATATTTATTCTTCTCCTGCTATATAGGCCGTTTTTAAAGAAAAAAATCTTGTAAAAAAAATTGATGAAATCCTCCAATATTTAAAGAATCTTTCACTTTTGATCTTCATCGGGTCAACTCATCAAAAAAGTTGATGTGGTGCTGTTTTTCTTTTTGTATTTTCCATTTAATCTTTATTCCACGTGTATATTTCAATGTGTAAAACGATCCAAATGCTCCCAACTAAAATACAAAACATTTACCCAAAATCATTCTTTAAGGAAAACCTAAATTTTCATAGAAACTCATTGTAAGCGTTCTTTCTTCCTCGTTCATTGTTCATAGTTCAACATTGAATCCTTTAACATTGAAAATCAACTATTGTGTTTGCATTTCTTTCATCTTCATCGTTCAACTGTCAATCCTTGACCTTAAAACCCTTATTTCCTAGAGAAAAGCTCAGTCACATTGAATCCTTGAACTTCCAAGTGTTATTTGTTGCAATTTTGTCTTGTAGTGCGACATTTGCGGTATTAAAAAGGTAGAATTTTAATAATGTTTACGACTTTTTAGTGGTCCCAATTCCATTTTTTCAGTAACTTTTAGATTTTCAAATTTAGGGTTTCACTGTGTGTGTAAATTGTGGTTGTTTCCTTAAACTGTGAATGTTAAACTTATTAATCGTATTTTAACTTTTGGGTACATCTGTAACTGCAAAAATGTGGTTATTCAGTGTGATATTTCACCATGGGGAAAACTTTGTTCATGATAAGCACGTGTTTTACAGGGGAGGGATTGAAACCATTGTAGAAGAGCAAGACTCTGATAGGTGGAGTTTTTTTAGGCAGCTAGCTTAGTTAAAGACTGGGGTATGATGAATTTAGACTTTGGAGAGAGATACCAGGACTTGATGAAGGGTTTATTCATTTCATTGATGATGTACAAGCTGAAAAAATTGCTAATCACAATCTTGATAGTAATATTGATGGGCATATCTAAGTAGAACATGGTGTTGAAGATATGGTAAGCAAGGTGTTGAAGTATGATGTTAATCAATTTAATGAATGTAGTGGGTTCCAAAAGTCCAAAAAAGATGAAATCCTCAAGAAAGGTAAATATGTTTGTTCCTACTAGTATTTTGGGATCTAGTTCAAAGAGGAATAATAATAATGTTGGAAGTCAATATGTGCACTATGATAGTTAAGAATTGGAAAGCTCTGGCCCTGATGATAGTGACAATGAAAAACAACCTAAATATTAGTATGAAAAGTTTAGAGGAGAGATGTTGAACAAGGACTTCCAATTTAAACTAGGTATGTAATTTAATTCTTTGTCTGGATTTAAAGATGCAATTAGGGGGTGGTGTGTTTAAAATGTAAGAGAGATAACGTTTGTTAAGAATGAAATTTATAGGATTAGGGTAGAGTGTAGGGGTAAATGTGGTTTTCTTACATTGTATAGTAAAGCGGGTGACAGACACACCTACTAATTAAAGACATGGATGGGGACATACACATGTGCAAGGTTATTAAATAACTAATCTGCCAATGTTGTTGGAAATCCACCAAAACCTATGATGAATTTCTATCAATCTTGATGAACAAGATTGTTATCACCACACAATGACAATGAAAATAAGAAATAAAGAAAGAAGACAATTGTTTTCTGCAGAGTTTCTCTCTGCTACAAATTATGGAAAATTTCTTATTCACTTTACAACTGAAAATTATGTGAATACAACTTGATTGACTTGATTACAAAAATAGGGGTTACTCCCTCTATTTATAGATTTAGGTTAGCTTACTCCCTAAGCCAAATCCCAAAACTATGAAAGCCCAAAGTACCTATTTTGGAACTAAATCAAATCTATCTATTTTAGATCTAAATCAAATCTATCTAAA